ATGCTAATATATGTATTTCACTAGCAGAAGTGGGATTAGCATCACGGTATGACTGGTTTATGTATTTCACTAGGAGAAGTGGGGTTAGCATCACAGTATGACTTGTTTATGCATTTCACTAGAAGAAGTGGGATTAGCATCACGGTATGATGCTAATATATGTATTTCACTAGCAGAAGTGGGATTAGCATCACGGTATGACTGGTTTATGTATTTCTACTAGGAAAAGTGTGATTAGCATCACAGGTGACTGGTTTATGTATTTCTACGAGAAGAAGTGTGATTAGCATCACAGTATCACTGGTTTATGTACTTCTACTAGGAAAAGTGTGATTAGCATCACAGGTGACTGGTTTATGTATTTCTACGAGAAGAAGTGTGATTAGCATCACAGTATCACTGGTTTATGTATTTCTACTAGGAGAAGTGTGATTAGCATCACAGTATCACTGGTCTATGTATTTCTACTAGTAGAAGTGTGATTAGCATCACAGTATGACTATAAGTATTTTAAACACCTCCTTTTCGACTGGTCAAATACAGGTTTTCAGTAAACAGTGCTGCCGAATGCTGCTATTGACGTTCAACACCAGAACCTATTAGGCCAGTTAAATTACAGCATCCGAAAATTAGTTGAATCGCAGTTTACATACATATGAATAATTGATAAAAGTAGTGGAGCATTAAAGTTTATTTGGTCCAACTCCTACATACAACAGGACCATCTGTGCTATATGTCCCGAATTTGGAACTGGAAGACTAGAGAGAGAAGGCAGTTATAATGAACACCTCCAACAGATGGGTAACTCTGATCAAATAGTGGGATTTGACTATCACTCTTATAACGCATCCACTGCCCCAAAATGCAGAGAGCGATTTTTTTCTTCTTCTGGCACCAACGGGGCACAAACAATCTGCCCTTGAATCCATAGTATTTCACGCCAACTTATCAGAGCTCCTCCAGCCTGAGCATTTAAGAATAATTCGCTTATAAATATTTCAATTTCATTACCCCCACCCCAGTGGCACAGCGGTATGTTTGCGGACATACAACGCTAGAAACCGGCTTTCGATACCCTTGGTGGACAGAGCACAGATAGCCCATTGTGCAGCTTTGTGCTTAACTACAAACAACCAATCAATTTCATTGTGATATTTCATCAGTTTATTATCCTTAGAAGCGTTTTGCTTTGTCATCTTAGTCATTTGTATATCATGCTACTTAATAGTCACATTATATATGCTGGAAAAATCCGTATAGTATTAACACAGTTTGAAAATTGTATTGTGCTGGATATTTAGTTACAGAGACGCATAAATGTAATATGTTGTTTTCATGGGGTAAAAAATTTCATTTTAAGATATTTCTTGTACATTTGATACTAGGAGATTGAGAGATTCTTGAAGATTGTTACAGTTCCTTAGCATGTTAACCTTAACGAGAAACCTGTAGTAGAAAGTCATTATAGGGGTAGGTGGTCCAGATCTTAACATGAGTGGAAGACCACCCCTCCCTCCGCCTGTGGCGTCATTTTCTCTGTAGAGTTAGTTTGGAGTAGCAACTCTGAATAAGATAACAGTTTATTCAATCGCGAACTTTGAACAAGAGACGCTGACCTTGTTGACAATTCTTTGGTGAAGAAATAGAAACCGCGAGCCTAATGGAATTCTTCGGATTCGTGCGGTCAGTGTTTCCTGTCCCACGTGTAACCGATACAAAGGTCATTTCTCATACTGTTTTATAACGAGGTTACAAGTTTGAGCTTCCTCTAAGGAGTGACCAATAAATCGTTATTAATGCGGTGAAAAATACTGTGTTTGCCGTGAATGAAACAATATTGTTTTACCTTTTGGAAAACACTTGAAAACTGATTTTGAAACTTCTAATTCTAGAATGATTGTGACATTATTTAGGTTTTCTCTTCCCTTTGATTCCAGTAATGTTTTATCTATTTATATATCTATTGCTATTAAAATATTAAAAATGATTTTTTGTCGTTGTTTATTACATACACTAAGAAAAAAATGGACAGAAGTTTTAAGTAGGTCAGAAAACATAAACTGAAAATGTCCTTGTAAAGTTTAATAATATATTAACATAGGACCTGAATTGTTTACTGTACTAAAAGCAGGAACGAACGGAGATGATATTCACTAGACATTCCTTAGCAGCAATAAGTATTTAGTCAAACTAACAATTACATTTATTTTTGCCATAAAGTAGATATAATTTATCCCTCGTCTGTTTTCCTGGTTAGAGAAAACTCTTATTAACATATTTTTGCTCACATTTTCGTCAGTTCTGTTCTGTACATATCTTAAATTCTTATATGCATTAGTTTACGTAATGTTTCGTAACCACTTGCTGTTAATATTAGGCATACCACTTTGTCAATATAATTCCCTAGGTCTCTGTTTATTTAACGTTTTTTTTTGTGAAAAGCTACACGAGGACTATTTTCAAATAGCCGTCCTTAATTTTGAAATCACAGACTAGAGGGGGCTACTCAATAGCATCAACCGCCAACTTATAGGTTACCCTTGTCTCACCGGCAACTTATTTTACTTTTATAGTACACCCACGGCCTAAAAGTGTGGAGCTTGCTTTTGCGGTAACGAGATGCGAACCATGAACCCTGATATTCACAGTCTTGGCACGCTATCCACAAAGCCACAATAGGCCGACCTCTGTAAGATATATCGCTTTAGACTCTGTTTAAGCGGTAACCGCAAACTGCTGTAACACGTTTTAACTTGTTTTACCTTTGTGTATGATAAGCTTTAAGTACGTGTAATAGGGCAATATACTGTTATGTCTCTGCTCGTTTGATAATTTCCGGTAGAAATTCTTCCCGAAAAACTTCAGAGATACTAGTCCTTTCTTAAATAAAACTAGTTTATTCTTTCTCAATACAACTTTGAAATATACTTAATTTCCACAGTCACTTAAACACACGCTATAATTCTCAACGAACGATTCACCCACTTTACTTACTACCGCGCTTGACTCAATTGTCCGTCTATATCTTTAATCTCTCTGTCCCCTATACCATCCCGATTAATTGTTTGGTCGCACTTATATAC